CAAAAAACGGAAAGAACTTTTGCACCGGACTAATATGTTGGAACAAGCTGGAAGATCGTGGATTTTTTCGGTTGAAGACTTGATATTTTCTTTTTTTGGGCATCTGGACCTTTTTAGATTTTGGACTCAAACTTTGCATGGATCATACTTGGTGTGAACGTTTGATATCTTCTTGTAGACCTTGCTTTGCTCTATCGAAAGGTATGCTTGTTACTATGAAAATTTTACGAAGAAATTGCTTACGGCAGTAAAGAAGCAAATATGAAAATACTTATTGGACAAACCGATAGTATCTTCTAGGTAGTAATTGTATTTTTCAATTCACGATCCTGCGTTCTCTTCTTCTCGTTTCTTCCAGTCAGAGCCTGTTTTTGTAGGGCTACTCTGACATGAGCAAAGATCACATGCGCATCATTTCATGCTATTAATCACAACCTTTTCTACCCCACTGGTGGTCATCCAGGTTTATTAGAAGTTATGCTTTTGATGGCTTATCTTACGGTGTAAAAGTCGGCTTAAAACAAGCAATTCTTCCTTCTCTTTACTTTCGAATTATTATTCATGACTAGCGATTCTGGAGTTGTGGTTTTGCGAGAGGTACAAGTTTAGGAGTCTGATGATACTATTTTCCTGTGAAGCACGCGTATCTAAAAGCTGAATTATTGCTCTTTTAACAGCTCTTTATTTCATTTTTTTAGGAAACAATATGCGGCAACTGATCTTCTTCGCATTGATTCCGTTATTGTCTCAAGGTAAGTTCTACCTAGAGATCCACCCATAAGACTGCGTAGTTTATTTTACTAGGAGATTATGTGAAAAATGGGGCTGAACTTTCTTCGTATACCGGTAAGTTTAAATGAAAAGCAGGGATTGGGTCGCTTAATTTTGCACGATCCCGTTCTATCAATGGCTTGCACTGTACTATATTCAAGAGTTGTCTTATTCACTATTTTCACCTCATCTTTTCCTGTTTTTATGACAAGACTGAAAAAAAAGTTGATGTAGATTCCAGCTCTCGAACTGCGCCATCCTTGCAATCTATCAGTCGACCTCGGTGATACAAACTGCCAAAACACCTCCTCCATCAGAGTAAGCTCCTAAGGCTATCAAAAATCAATTTGTAAAGAATTTTTGCATTTTAGTACTTCCTAGACGCAGAAACACTCTCGTGCCTACCCTTCAGATATACTGGATGTGGTGGAAACGAAAATAACTTCGATTCACCCAGCAGCTGCCATTTGAGATGTATCCCAAGTCAGTTCCATTTCTTTTCTTTTCAAATAAGCAGATGATTAGAGCATTTTTTCCAGTGGACTATCATACCTGTCCAGCCAACAGACCACCAGTGAAAAGGGCAGATGGCTCGCCAAGCTGTAACGAGGAGAGGAAGTGCCCAGAAGGGTCCAGATGCCTAAAAGGATTCGTTGTGGGATTGTGCTGCGACATTAAGGAAATTGGTAAGATACAATATCAATTTTGTACCACTTTCTAGAAACTGATTTGCTATTTGCAAACATCAGACGTGTATGAGAACGCAGCATAAGTTTCGCTATCCAGAAAAATCAGAAATTCACAGCTTCTCTCAAAGGCATTGTAGCTTTTCGTTGCAAACATGTCACACATAAAAAATGCATTTTATAAGTTATTCAAAACCTTCCTGAGTTTTTTGGCTAAATTTCAACTTGCGTTTTAATCTGCTTAAAACATATTGCCGTCGTATCATAAGACTGATGCTCTCGAAACTCCAGAAAAATCCAAAAAACTGAAATGGGAGAATTTTGATAAGTTAGAGAAAAGAAAAGGAGTTTGAAGTACTGTAAAAATCGTTTACATATCAATGTAAAGTTCGTAAAGGCAAAAATTGGCAACCCTTCGTTCCCTCTTCATATCTGCGTTCATGAGACTTCATGGTTTTAAGGTCTAAAAAGAAACAAAGAAAATGTAGCATGATGGCTTATTATTATTGCTACTCGAAAGGGTAGTCAAGCCACCGTTGCAACATGCAAACTCATTTCTTTCAAAAAATCTTGAATTAGAAGGATGATACAAGCGAGCGGTGAAATGTTAGTGACAGTGGCAAATGCTTAAAATATTTTTATCAAAATCTAGCCTTTTGAGACCGTATCCTTGGCGTTTCTCCTGCATTTCATGGCCAAAGGATTTGAATGAGAGAGGAAAAAAAGAAAAATCTATAGTGTCGGGGGGTAATTTTGGCTACCATCTTCCTTGATATCCAGATGCGCAAAAGTCACTCAAGCTTTTGTTTGTAAGGCGTACCCAGTTAAAGAATAGGAAAGGAACTAAAAAGATTTTCAATTCTCTTGCACCTTTTGTATCTAAAAGCCCATGCTATTACTTTCGATATGTTGCGAACATCTGCTG